AGAACCAACCACCCAGATCCAAACACCAAAGCTTAGTCTATGTTTTAAGATGAACACTTGGACAACATAACTCACATACCGTATTAGCACCTCGTGTGTAACATTTGAAAGGGAAGTTCAAGAGTCCGGTAGCTTCGGCAGCCTCCTCAGTTGTGGCCAGTCGACATACTGGACATATCACAGCTAACGAACTCACAAGTGCAGGTTTATAGCAACGTATCGACGTGAGCTGGCAGATTTTGTTTTTGCAAATACCTACACAATCTATAAGATGTTGTGACAGCTCTGATCAAGCCAATGGTTTCCATGTAACTTCTCCGTCCTGGCCAAAACCTTTGTTGGGATATCTCGTACCTTGCTCCATGTTTAGGACTTGTATCGGGAGGCAGTATGACGATGATTGCGCTGATACATAGCTGTATCAGTGTCCCCTCTCCATATATGTGCCTGGTTACCATCACGCTTAGAGGTCACAGACTTTAATATAACTAGGCTATGCATTATTTTAATAGCTATGCTAGGTACTTGGCCACCAGACTCTCAACCCTTCCTTTTAACACCGATATACACGCTTTAAATTCCCATGAGAAATTCCCATGAGAAATTCCCAACCGCTCCATACGCTCTAACTCGTGGTTCTTTAGAGCAGTCATATAATGATTATTCATAACATCATATATATATATATATTAAGAGAGATGTCCAGACGAACAACTCATCCACAGTCTTGGCGCTAGCTGTTCTTGACCTGTACAGACGACAAATTCAAAATGTAGTGACACAATCTTGGCTTCAGGAGGGAGACCGCTTCTTCAATTGCTTCTTGAACCCAAATATATTCTTCTTTATCATCTCCTGACAAATATAGTTCGTCAACCCCAGTCTGGGCAATTCCCATAGCCATCTGGCGTCCGATTCCAATGAGGCAAATATCGGATTGGCACCTGAGACGCTAAAGCACATCGCTCCAAGTCCGTCTCAGCGATGGTACGCGACGGCGCAAAGCGAAATACGGGGCCATCGCAATTGACAAATAGCGGGACTTGCCGCTGGCGACGCCAGTGACGAGGGCGGACCCACGAAGCAAGGTGGTTATCCTGAAGGAGCGCTACAGGCTACGGAACTGGGCGCGGCAGGTGTCCTGACTCGTTTGTGGCTGGAAACAGGGAAACTCGAGCTGTTTCTTCCTTTCTTTGTTCAAAGAAATGGACCTAGGCCTAGGGACCGACATACTGTCGGGAGGGCACGTCTTGACTAAATTGCTTTTTGTTTATTTTATGACCATTCCATCAATGCCTGTTAAGTATTGGATATGTACAAATGCTATCGTTTAAACCGAATTTATTTCTTATTGTGGCTCTCCACCTGACTGAATCCCTTATCGCTGAAGCGTAGCCTCTGGTGAAGACTTGCTGCGTGCTGGGGATCCACAAGAAACCCGGTGGGGGACCGTCGATTAGACTGAAGCTATGAAGCCAGGATGTGTCGCACCAGGGGTTCCACTCGTCACTACATGCTTTGAGCCTCATGAACATCATATGAATGCATTATATATGACCTTTCCCATTGCGATTATACTTCTCTAATCCCATATTGATGGTGAAGGTTTCGATATCAACAATTCATATGTTGGCCCACTCTATCGTCGATAGTACGGCAGTGACAGGCTGACTTGACGGGCAAGCATGCTTTGGCTTTTGACGACTGCGGAAACAGTGTAAGGCAGATCAGAAGGATATCCGATCTCAAACCTCGGGCTATAGTGACTCTAATCAGCTCTTTGTCGACAAACTATACGTCGGTACGCCGTCACGAGAATTGCCGCAAACGACGACGTGGGTTAACGATTAGGACAAATCTGCGCCTGTTGGCTACACAGATCGCTCCCGCAAAGAAGTTGAGAGGCCTATGTATCAAATATCGGCACTGAATTGAACACCCTCGGTTCGGTTCCATGTTGAAGGCAAATGGGAAGAGATCCAGAGAAAAAAGTGAAAGGTTCATGGGAATATAATAGATCTTAGGCTCAAAGGCACGATCAATACTTCTGCAATATACGCAACGAGGACTATCGCTCATCAGAAAATCACCAACATAGAATAGACAAGATAATGGAACATAATATTCATTTCATTCGTGCGTGGGCTATCGTGAACAATGCGTCATCCACCCGGGGTATGCTATGATAATGTACAAAGGGAACACTCATGCCTGACAAAATCCCAGGTCAAGGTCATGTAGAAAGGTGATAATATGCTCTTAGGGCTTGTTCTCGCCGTTGAATCGAGCCATGCCGCTTCGGATGCCCTTATCGACAGACTTGGCCATCTTCTCAAGAGGAAGACGATCCTCGACACGCTGGATCATCTTTGACACAGGAGGCTCGATACGCTGTACGCCCTTCTCCATGGGAGGGATAAAGTAGCTGACGTTGCGCTCCCATCGTGGAGCCCATTTGTTGGTCTGGTTGGAAAGACGCTCCTCGGCACCAGGCATGACAAGGTATAGAGGAGTGAGGACACCAACACCGGCCGCACCCATACAGAAGATCTCTGAGGGCTTGGCAGCGGGAAGTCTGGGAACGCGGACGGGCATGTTGGTGGTTTGTGTAGGAGAGTTTCTTAGAGGCTAATACTGTTAGGGAGAGTCGCGGATGCAATGGTAAGGGCCGTGCTCACTGTTTGGTGATGCTCAAGAGTGATTGACTTGGCTTTGTTCAAGTGTGTAGTAACCGGGAAGATGAAAGGACTTGAAGACTTGGTTTGATGAGAAGGGAAAGACAAGAATCAAAACTGGACACGAATGGGCAGTTACCTCTGTTATATACGTGCAGCCATGTTTGGGTGATCCAGCAAGATCGAGCGGGGTAAGAGCGCTTGGATGATCAACATGCGCATGAGGGAGGCTGCGACATCGAGGCAAAGTGACAACAAGATGGGATGGGTCAATACTTGGGCAAGTGACAGTGCATCAGCGCAGAGAGCGGTACATAGTAAGACAAATACTGTGCTGACGGACAAGGTTACACTCGAGCGCGGATGGCTTGCAATCTTCCCCAACCTCAAACTCTCCTGCAGGCCGACACAGGCGCTGATTCGCTGTCAGTTAGGTTAATGCCCTCCATTACGTCGAGGCCAGGCTCTTGTGACTTTGTGGATTACTGCTAACGGTTGGTCAAGATGGTTCTGAAAACAGTACAGTCTTGAGAGGCGCAGGGCGAGCGGAGAGCTACGACAAGGTCAAGGGGAGTATGCCGTCCATTTGTGCAGGTTGCCACGCCAGTGACGCCCCAAAGTCATTGTCGTTGGGCATAGCGGTTGTGGTGCATTTGGATGCAAGAGGTTGTGCCGCGGGAGGATCGCTTCGAGTTGAGATTCAGCTGTTCGAAGCAAGATGGTGGCCCACACGTAGCTGCTGCATTTGACTGGTGAGTTGTGCGGCGTTGTTCCGAACTCGGTCGTTCATGGACGAAATGCAAATCCAGAAAGCTTCCTACAAAAGTGTCGGATTCATCAGGGCCGTTAAATGAGCGACTTAGATGACTCGGTGCTTTCGATTCCAACCCAGTGTAATAGGTGGTCGCGTGTTGCATCGCAGAGGAAACAGGGGAAATCGTGCAGGGGTCAAATGGAATGAACTGAAATCAATGCTGAGAGAAAGGGACTGGCAGCAACTGGAACCCCAGAACCCCACCCAGAGACACGCAAAGTGGCGTGTTTCTCCCTCGACAGCCACCCAGCTGCTTTCGATTCGTTTGTGTTACAGAAGATGCGAGTGTCAGGCAAGAACTTGGATTCAAAACATTCAATTGATGTAGAGTGGACAGGAATCTCATGTTTTTGCGCATTACAGGCGTGGGATATGGAGCAAATCATCGACTCATTTTTTTCAAATTCAATTGTCTGCGGTGCATTCAGAAAGCAACGACGTGCGGCACAGTTCTCGTACAGTAGCAAAGGTAATGCAGGAGTCAGCCAGGGGAAGTGTGTTCCTGGCAATGCACACTTGCCCTCCTTTTACGCCAAGAGCCAAAGATAAGACTATAGACTTGTTGATGACATCCTGTTGAAGTACTTGAAATCCACGACTTGAAATGTCACCGGTCCACAACGACTTACAGTGTTTCAATGCGCTTTACAAGTCGCGTGCTGTCGATGCTTCCCTGCCGCTAGTAGCCTGGAGCCCCCTGAAGCGTATCCACTGAGCCCGCTAAAGGCCCGCTTTCCCCAGATTCACGGCACTTAGGCACGACGGGGACATTTCCCCGCTTCCACAGACCCACTGTGAGGTACTTGTGCTGATAGTCACCGCTGGTGCTACTTTCTGCCACTCTGTGCCACCTGATAGCCTGAAAGAGTGTTGTTACAAGGCATGGCAATGAAGGATATCAGAAGACTGCCTAATCCCGGAGCCTACTCATCGCCACGCAGTAACACGCTTCGGACCTAGATGCGGAGTAATTAAATCTACTACATTGAATAATCAAACTCCGACAATGGATGTTGTATCATTGAACGGAAGGTGAGGCCTGAGTGCGCTGATAAATAGACCCTGAAGGAACCTAACTGATCTTCTCCACCGTTTGGGTTGCTACCTATGTCTTATGTACAGTCCATTTAGGGTACTTGTGAGCACCAAAAACATACTTTCAAGCCAAGTAGTGTCCCAGACACACATTCGCGTATATCACACACAGCACAGCACAGGACACGCAACGCCTCGCAGCAATTCAAAAGACACCCACTCTTGAGTACTTGTTGCAGTCATTCCAGCAGCATGCCATATCTATGTCGATGCTGAAGCAAAAAGGAACCTGTCAAGATTGGGATTCGAACCCAAGAATCTTTCGATACTGCAGAATCCAGTTGATCCGGATAAGATATGATCTTGAATGCAGCGCCTTAGACCGCTCGGCCATCTTGACCAATTATGATTAGTCAAACAGCTAAAGCACAATACTAGGAAGTGATAAAAGCGTGACGCAACAGCAAAAAGAAGATTGTCAACATTGGGATTCGAACCCAAGAATCTTTCGATACTGCAGAACCTAGTTAACCAGGTAAGACTACTCTTGAATGCAGCGCCTTAGACCACTCGGCCATATTGACCTAATTTGATGTGTTAAAGGATAATCAAGATATAGATTGATACTCCCAAGCTTTTTCTCTTCATCGACTGATGGACCTGCTGGATTTCCATCACAATGTCTTCAGATCTCCACTTGACCAAGCGCCCGAACTGCAAACAACTCTTGGCCATATGGTATCGCATAATCATCGTTTTGCCATGGTAGGCTGCATAGTCATCCTTTCTGTCACTAAATATTCATATCCTGAATTTTACTAGACAATATTTGGTTAACACGCCTCCCACAATAACGCCTTTTCTTCGATTGTTACAGGTTATTTAACATCAAACTCAACAACTGCTTCGCACGTCTTCTGTCCACCGCTGACTGAGGGCTCGGCATGAAACATAAACGCAGATCAGCGAGTTTCTCTGATGGCACGGTGTTACAGCGAAAGAAAATCCTTAGCCGACAAAGAAGCTATTCGGTGCCTTCCCTGGGGTATGGAGGCATCTCCCCGCGGCTTTTGCAATCTCGCCTCCATACAGCAACTGATATTGGTGGAACAATTGCTCATAGAATTCTTACCCATGGAGGCAAAGATGGAGTCCATGCCACTATGAGCAATTGGCTCAACAATCCAATGCTGGTGAATGATTCACAGCTTGCCGATATTCTTTCAATTGAACATTCTACAAAAGCTTCCCCCAAACTTGACGCAGGTTCTGTCACATACTTCAGATCTTGGCCAATGGTAGCCGATCAGCTTTGCCAAGTAGTCGAGGAGCTCCGAAAACATGGGTATGGGAATCGAGTGGAGGCATGGACATTGGTGCTCAAAGGCTGCCTTCCAGCCACGCCGATAACTGTCCGATACGTAGGGTCGACATCTGCACCCCGAAATCCATTCAAACGGGTACAAAAGAACACAGAGCGGCCACAATCCCTCCTTGGCACGTTCCTCTCTACGATAGACCGGCTGTTTCCACGCGTGGCCAAGTCTCACCAAGTGTATGCTATCAACGGCAGCTTCATAGCAGATTTAAGCATGGAGAGTGCGAAACAGAATGTACTGTTTCAAAGATTCTACAACTCCGCCACTGATCATGCTGAGCGTTGTATGGTCACTTTCTTCGGAACTCGGACGCTTCTGAATCGTCAACGAGGAGGAAAACATAGAATGTTGACCCCAGGTTACGAGGAAGAACGTGTCCTCATGAGATGCAACACTACCCTTTTGAGCAAAGCCAACAGCTGTTTTACGCCACCACCCGAGAAAGTTATTTCTGACGTTAGTTTCCTCCTCAAATCATGGTGGGAATATGCTCGAAAAGAAATTTGGCTTGACGAGGACAGGGCAAAAGAGATCGATCGTAAGACCTATATTAGTGGCACATACAGCCAGGCTGTCGCAAAATCATCGGCACATGGGAGTTCTCTTCTGGCTCTTTGTGGCCATGAACCGCCTATCAGCAGTATCAACGACGGTGCTGACATACTTAGCGGTGTTCGTGCTACCAGCAGCTTTGTTAGAAGTGTTCTGACCTCCATGGCCGCGGTGGAGACGGGGATCTGCAGTACTCCTATCACAGCACTGACAGATCTGATCAGCTTTAATCAGCTACTTAACTGGCCGCGTCTAAGTTTCAACCAGAAGGAGAAATCACGAGTATGTATGATGTACTTTTACTGGCTTTGACATCACTTCTGACTTGCACTTGAGAAATTATTCGATTCGTGGTTGGTGGCACTTAGGCCAGTAATCATTGTCAGCTTTGGACAACATGTTGATGCTTGGCTGTGCCAGCCAACTCGACGTCAAACTCCACCTAAATCGTAAGTTTATTCGTCTCCTTCGTATCGGTTTCTAATCCATGCTCTAGTCTGCTCAAGGAAGTCGGTGTTGCTCGAACAGTTCAAATTCCAAATGGGGGCACCAAGGCTATCGTCATTCCACATCTGCACCCTGGAAGTTACGTACGAAATCCTACCACGTCAAGTCAAGACAAGATTTTCTGGTACCCTTGGGTTGCGACATGGGTCTATATGGACACCGCGATGAACCTGCTTTCCCGATGTGAAACTCTCTACACCTCAAGGGACGTCTTTTGTATCGAACTTGCAACACAAGCAGAGGCGATATTGGAAGAGGCAGGATACTTTGAAAGTCTTGACGCAGCAAAGACAGGTTTTGTTGCTAAGATGAAGATAGACAATTCGGCGATAACTTTGGGTAAGAGTCTGTCGTCAGGTGGAACCGGCCGAGCAAGAGAACACGTGCTCCACAAGTTCACTCCCTCGGAGGATAGAATCATCGTACTCGATCAGTATCTCTCATATAGGGCCCCATCCCTTGAACATGGTCTTCAAATCGACTCTACATTAGCAGGTGAGGGTTCAAAGAAAAGAACACGAGATGTGTTCGAGCAAAGCCATTGCTACGATCACGACCCTAGGGCTGACTTAACATCAAACAACTGGGGCCCTTCAGACAACACACTCAATAGATGGAGACAAGTTCACAGGTTTATCGAGGGCAACGAGTGTCTGGTGTCTGTTCACAGGCTGTACAATAAGACCGAACAACACAGGCGGTTCTTTGGTGTTGCGGCCAGTGTTCATCGATACCATGGAGGTTTGCTTGTCGGCAAGACGCCTATACGCATGGCCTTTCCTTCCCACTGGAATGACGATGTGACAAGTTTCAAAGACGAGTTTTCAAAATGTATTCAGTCGTTTCAAAATGCTGTCATCAACAGTTACATCCACGGCTTGCCTGACTTTCTTCTCGAGCGGCAATGGACAGCATCAATCAGCCTCTTGCAGCCGCCTGAAGCTGCAACAGTACTAAAGGATACTGCTGACATGCAGAGTCTAGACCAGGCACCCGTGGCCTCCTCCCTTTTTGAAACTTCTTCAACCCATGTACACCCTCCGTACCATTATAAACTAGCTCTCGAGCGTTGTGGGCAGACCAGAGGCACGCCCAATTCGCTCGCTGGGCAGCAGCAAGCCGAATCTTTATTCTCGTCTAATATTGCGGTTGTATGTGGCTGATCATTGGGTGAAGCTGCTTGGTTGGAGTTTATAGGGAGGTTAGAGGAAGGCCTATGGATTGCTGCTTCGATGGAATCTCTGAAAGACCCTCAAACTGTGCAACCGGAACGACAAATGTTTATTGAGACCTTTGGCGGTAACATTGGTGCTACTCACTGCCTGAGTAGTGACCAAACTCTGGACAACCAGCTTCAGAAGTCATCACAAGAATTCATGACTCTCCAAGCGCTATGGCTTACCAGTATGACGAGAGGGAAGGTGGGCAGGTCTCCCTGCCTTGATTTGAACCAAATCGATGGCCATAAGATTGATTTCTCTCAACGAGGCGTATTTCGCTTGACTTATCGGTTGGAGGACGAGTCCAAGATCACATTGGATATCAAACTTGGCCCTTCTATTGCCCCGCTTGAAAGCGAAGATATTCGCACCATGCATTTTACGGCATCTGGCATTGATATCCGGACCCCAACAGGCTATACTCTGATAGTTCCCGCTTACAACTCGGCATGCACCCTGCCTAAGTCCGTAATGAGAAAACACAAAGACGGCTCTGACTTCCTTGCTCTCTGGAGAATGATCCGGAAGCGGACTGACTCAACATCTTTTGCACGAGATTCATGGGATATCGATTCAAATTATCCCCCAGAACTACGTGTGTGGCCCATAGGCGAAAAGGGGGCTAATCTTCCTGCGAAACGCCCAGAAACCATTCAACAGCCTGAACGAAACGATGCACTATGGTTGTTGAAAGAGTTCATAGATTTGCGCTTTCCTAGCGGCGGTGCATTTTGGACAGGAGGTAGGGTCAGTTTTCCGCTGAGCACAGACGACGTCACAGATTTTACCAAGTAAGTTTTCGAAATGCCCTATACTCTCTATTCAGACTTCAGAGATGTGCGTGTTTCTGACAGACTTTTAGCTTTCTCAAGTTGCCTGACAACTGTACACATCCATACGCTCAATGGTGGTACGAGAAGCTCGTATTGAAACAAAAGGGGCCACGCAATTGGTCTATATGGCTTTCTTGCCTGCGAAGTACAAAAGTTGAACATGTCAACGCGCCCAAATCGGCAACTACCCCAGGCACATATCGCAAGAAATGCGCAGTTATTACCCTTGGACCTCTGCAGGTCGAGTAGCTGCAGTGCCTATACAAGCTCTACCTCTTCTTTCGAGCTGATAGGTGTCAGTATTGTCAAAACCAATGGGAAGGGGTCTACTCATCATAAAGGCTTTTTTCCTCTTCTAAACTATGTGTAGTGTTATTTCCATACTCATCTCATCTTAATCAACCTTCGCTTTGAACATGGTGGGCGTTGTGCCGCTTTTGCTCTGAGGTTTGTTTAGCGTATGTCTTCTTTTGCTTCTTTAGTTTGGCTTGATACTGTGATCTCTGCGTGGACCAATGGTGATGCTGAAATCAGATCATGGCCTCAAGATAGGTACGACTGTTGCATACACTTAGACAGATTTATTGAACGCCGCCGGTTCTAAAACTTCTATCGGGGGCAAGAAACGAAAAGGCTCGTTTTCAATATTTGAGGCTTGACATAGGCTAACATGCAACAGTAAATTGTACAGATATGAAATAGAAATCGGTAATCAATGCGTGAAAAGAGTGGTCACTATTGTTTCATGTCATTTGTCGAGATGGTCATTTCCAGACATCATCTTCTCACTTCGACCACGTCAATTGCATTAGTCTTTGCCGGATTTGAAATTCAGCTGGGCCAGTACTCTTACACAGAACAAAAAGAAACGTCTGAGATGAGACAGTGAATCGCCGTCTCGCCTTCGGCAAAGGAGGACCAATATTCAAAGCCAAGATCCGCGACTCAGATCCATGGTCATCAAGGAAGAGCTTGGAAGACACATACCTCCGCTCAAAGGATTTCAAACAATGATCGGTTTGGTTGAACCAAGCTCACCACTGCAGCAGATCACATAAACCACAGAAAATATGGTTATCACCGAAATTTGAAT